AGTTCTGTTTTTATTTCATTAGAGAGCCTCAAAGTTCTGTTTTTATTTCATTAGAGAGCCTCAAAGTTCTGTTTTTATTTCATTAGAGAGCCTCAAAGGTCTGTTTTTATTTCATTAGAGAGCCTCAAAGTTCTGTTTTTATTTAGAGCCTCAAAGTTCTGTTTTTATTTTTATAGAGTGCCTCAAAATTGTTTTATTTCATTAGAGAGCCTAAAAGTTGTGTTTTTATTTAGAGCCTCAGAGTTCTGTTTTTTTGTTTTTTGTTAGCGAGCCTCACAGTTCTGTTCTTTATTTAGTTTTTTCTTAGCTTTAGCCTTTAGGTCCATTTAGCTAGTCTTTTGTTTCTTTTTTATTTTGCTACTTTTAACTTTTGTTTACTGATTTGCTACATTTAGCCTGTTGCCAGCCTTTTGTTACTTTGTTATTTAGCATTGAGCTAATTTTTTGCCTTTTTTTTTTTTTGCTCATTTAACCTTTTATCAAGCCTTTTGCTATGTTTAGCTTTTTACTTGSCTTTTGATATTTACTTTCTAACAAAGCTTTAGTTACTTTGAGCCAAGCTTTGGCCTTTTTGGGCGTTTATCTAGCATTTTCAGTGTTTTTTTTTAATCACTTAGCTCTAGCTCTTGGCTTTCAGCTAGTATTATGCTTCTTAGCTTTTACATAGCTCTTTGTTCCTTTTAGGGTTGAGCTGATCTTTAGCTAGTGTTTGCTAGGCTTTCAATGAGTTTAGCATTTAGACAGCCTTTTGCTAGTTTTAGCTAGTGTTTTGCTTCAGTTTCAGCTTCAGTCTGTAGTTTCTGTAGTTCTTTTCTTTAATTCTTGGTTTAGTTTTTAGTCGGTTAGGTTTACTTGATCCGATGTTTAGTTTCTCACCACAGACTGATCGATCAGCGATCAATCAGAAATAATCTGAACAGAAACAGTTCAAACTCCAGACGTCTCAGCTCATTGTTCACTTCCTGTCTTCCTCTGAGGACTACAGGTAGACGGATTTGTTTACCTCTTTTCTCACAAAGACAAAAGGTAAAAGTATAAAACAGAACAGTAATGGCCCCCTGCAGAGATATTTGTCTCCTTTAAAGCCACGAGTTTTATGAATAAAACAGCAGCAGCTGTCAGAGTCGCAGCTGTTTCCAGGATGGGACAGCTCAGAAACTCTTCTGTCTCCTGACAGCAGAGAAAAAGACAAAATGCCAATAAACAAGACAAAGGAAATATTTTAATGACTCCCCTCAGTAAACAACAGGCCCTGCATCTCCTTCATCTTCCTGCCAAGCACTGCCCCCCCC